CCATCCTGTGTGTGGGTTTACTGTAACTCTAGAAAGCCAACAAAGTGCTGAACTTCCAGTATAATGTCAAAAATGATTCTTTCACTTTCTACAATCGAAAAGCAGCTTTTATTTAACATATTTAGATCTTTTCACACAAAGATTAGGAAACCTAATTTGAGCCTGTTAACCTTTCTCTTGGTAATCCATAGAAAAGCACAGCTGCACTACTAAAAACATACTGTTTATCCACGATCACCAAGGCTGGGCAGCCTGCAGCGTTCCAGAGATCAAAGTTTAAAACAGACGTGCCCGTCCTTCCTAATTCCTTGTATTTGAGGACATGATACCACCAAATCTAGACTTGCTGCTGCTAAAAACTTGAGCTGAGCTTCAACCTGTGTTCGTGTGAGAAAGGTACGTCCTGGCAACTTGATAACCATGAAATGAAGTAGGACAGAGCTTAATCGTTGTAATGAAACAGTCTTCTGATTACTTAGTCATTCCTTTTAAATTAAAGTAAATAGTGTTAAGGATTTTCTTTTTTTTTTTTTTTAAAGAAATATTTTTGCAACCGAGTTTTACCCCTCCTTTTTTTTTTTTTTTTTCATTGCCTATGTGGGAAAACTAACACGTTTGTATAAGGATAAACTGGGAAGTCTGTGGTTTCCAGCATGCACATTTTGAATAATATTTATACAGACTATTATTTAATGGGCCATATAAATATTTATCATATGCTGTAGCCTTTTGATCATAAATGCTTGTTTGAAAAGCCATTCTGTCCCTGCTGTGATTTGCAGAGAAAGAGGCCATTGCTGGTTTAGTGCTTGGAGGGAATTTTGGCTTCTTGTCCTGCCTTAGCAGTTACAGTCATGGATTAACACAGTCAAGCTGAACATGGCTTTTAATTTTATTTTTTTTCTCTGTCCCTCACCTTCTGTTTGCAAATTCAATTAATAAATTGTAAATACGAGGCCCTAATTCTGCAGTGGACAGACAAGGCTCTGTTAAAGTGCTGGAGGCCTTTTTTCTTGGCTGCAAACTTGCTCTTGGCTTTCTGAGTTAGATACTTCAAGGGGATAAAAGGTTCCATCTCCACTGCTTTCCACCGCTTGGATGTACATAAACACGTATCATCCCTGCATCGGATATTCTGCTGTCATGTTGGGAATATTGCACGTGAAGAATGGACCCATCTGGTCTTTTATTTCAGTCATTTTATTATTTCAGACGTTTTATTTCAGTTGTTTTTCTGGGTTGCTGTTTTCCTCATGATTGCATTGCCTGCAGAAGCTGTATGTTGAGAGTCCAATAGATACAAAACCCAAACCAAAGTTTTCTTTGCATAGCAAAGTTTTCTTTGCACGTGGCAATGAATGTTGGTGTCCATATTCCAAATCAAGAAATTTGAACATGGGACCTTCTGCTACCTCTGAACTACATTAAAGAGATTCTTGATTTCTAATTTGGAGCTTCCTCATGTAACAAAGGAATCTTCTGGAAGCTAAACAGAATGGCAACATTCCTCTTTAAAATTCTTCTTAAAGTACTTTGGCTAAAGATTTTCCACTAGCCTGACTGCTGATTCTCAAGAAATACCTTTGGGCAGAGTGCATAATTGGTGACATTTGTGACCTGGAGATGACAGTGCTTTCCGTGGATGTGCTTGATAAGTACAAGCCCTTGGTATTCCAGAAAAACCCTTGGCATCAAATGATGTTTTTGCAAGCAGATCAGATCCGATTGCAGATCTTATTTACTTTGAACAGCCTCAGTAACTCGGTGCTTGAAAAAAAGATTAATATTTACTTTTACCTTTTTTTTTCATAAGACATGGAGTATTGCTTTGTGAATCTAGGGGAGCTTTACTCAGAGAAAGACCGGTTCAAATAGGTTTGTGGTTCTTGGTTTTGGACTCTGTCACTTAACTGGTTCCTGTGTGCACTGATTTACAGCAATAAACTGGATGTGCATAGGCTGATAGGGGCTGCTGGAGCACGTAAACAAACTCTGCTTCCTGCCCAGTCACTCACACGTGCACATCCTGGCTGCTTAGTAAGGAAAAAAAAGGAAAGTAAACATTACATGGGCAGATTGGGTTCCAGGTTTCAAATGTTTGTGGGAAGAATCCAATGCAAAGCCATAATTTTAAGTGCTGAGTAGGAGGTACTGTGAGCTTAATTCTCTAACATCTGTTAAGCTTGTTCTCTAAGTAGCAAAAACACATTAATGAGCTAAAATCAAGGCTGCCTTACAAGGGAGAGAAATTTAGAGTAATATTGTGTGTGAGAGCAGGAGACAGGATGCAAAATACTCCTTTTGCTATTTGTATTTTGTGAAAAGCAAGGAAGAAAGATTTGCCTGTGTTTAAAAAAAATAATAATCTGTTTTGCAGCTTGTGGTTTATTCTCAATTTTTTCTGAGTCAGCAGCTAAAGGCAGTGCCGAAATAGGGGAAAACCAGGGAAATTCGTGAGATAGTATCAGGAACAGTCTTATGCAATGTCTTTATAGTAAAGCTTCTCCCAAGTAACTAGCAGCACCTGCAGCCAGCCTTTGCAGCTCTGAGGAGATGGAGTGCAAAATTAAAAAGTGAACAAACACCATCTTTTGAAAAGAACGTCTTAAAACTGCTTTTCCAGCCAAGGGCTGAGAGGGAGGTGCCGAGCGCGTGTCCCCCCAGGTGACAGATGCAGCGTTAGTCACCCACGTCCCCTCTGTGGCAGAGGCATCGGCTTTTGTTGGTCTGACCAGGTCACAGAGCCAGGGCCAAGAAAATAAAGGAGCTTTCTTGCCAATATTCCTTAGTGTTAACTCACGGCACACCATTTTTAGCTGCTTGCTCATCGCTGGAACACATGACCTCGCTTAACAAGATTAGTGTGTGGCACCTCAGCTGCTGGCAGAGCCAGTGCTCACAGAGAGGAGCCACAATATACTCTGTAGCTTTGAGTTTTTCCAAGTTTCTGACACTGTTAGAAGCTGATGATCTGTACAGCTTCCTCTGGTGCCCCTGCCATGGTGTGTGCAGAATGCAGCTCATAACTGCTTTGGTCTGTGCTGGGCTGCTCAGGAGTTTTAGTGATGGATAGAACTCCCTTGTGCTGTCCAAGTAGAGAACAAAAAATGGTCCCTGGACCCAGCAGTGGGGTCTAAGCATGAAGTGCCAGCTTGAAGCAGGACAGAATTATCGTGTGCTAACAGATCTCTGCAGACTGACCACATTCCCATGAGCTGTTTAAAGGCTGGGATGAGGGGAAGCCTCAGTAGGTTTCTTTTGCCAAGGTGTTGTCTTATGCCTTTTTCAGGGCAAATGAAACTTTGCCCAGCTGTTACACTGCTTAATTATTACCCAGAATCATGTTTGGAGTTTTCTGAGGTAAAGGGCTCCTTTTTTTTCCTTCTTTATTTTACCTGCTACCTCTTAGCCTCAGCGATGATAGATTTGTGATGTCCATCAGCAGCAGTGGTTACAAGCCAGCCATGGATGTGAACAGCCACCTGTATTGGGCCAGTGCTATGTTCAGACTGACAGCCAAGCAGAGTTCCTGACCCGTACTCAAAATTATCATTAAAAAAGAGAAAAAAGGATTAATTTGACATGTGAAAAATCATATTCTACTAAGCATTTCTTTCCAATCTTTCCCTCTTTGCCTATGCCTCTCCCTCTAACCACCGTTTAGTCCACATCCAGAAGTAATCCAGGTCACTTATCTGGGGGAGGTGGGCTGTTTTTAAGTAGAGCCATTTTGATGCTCTGTAAATACCATGTGTTCGTCAAGTGGTAATCGATCCATTCACTTTCTGGAAGTCAGAAGCTGTGTGTCAGCTGAGTTTCACGTGGTTCAGAGACGTAACAGATTCACACAGCCACTAAACTTGGTACTTGTCTGATGTTTCAAATACTTGTACCAGCTCTTACTTAGCATTCTCCCAGCTCAGTTAAAATGTAAATGTTAACTATTAATTAAGAACAAACTGTGAGAAATTTAGAACAGTGAATTTGTCACTATATTAAATGTGAAACAGTTAATATAGTGAAATATGCAACTCATTGTGAATAATTAAATCAATTAACCTCACTTTGTTCTTGTAGGTTGTCAGAGAGCAGGCAGAGATTTCCTCGGATGCTCTCATAACACTTTTTCAGCAAATTATTTTCTGAGGCTTTAAAGTTGAGTGGATTGATGGTGGAGAGCTCTTAAAAACCTAACTTTTTATCTCCTTCTTTTTCCTTGGGTAACATGTACCAGATTGTCACATGTTTACTTTAATTATCAGCATCACACTAGTTTTTTTTTTGGAAGAGGAAACTGTTTCCAGAATCTGCTGAGCTCCAGCCTGACTCACTGTCCCATTCAGCAGTAAAATGTCACTCAGGAGCTGGTTGGTTTGATGGGAGGCAGCAACTCTTGTGATCCTCGTTCCCTTCCAGGTCAGGGCTCAGTGGAGCCCAGCCCGGCCCCCCTTTCACTGGTTCAGGAGTGGAATTTGTTTGCTTTGAGACAGGGAAGACCTGTGGTGGTTCTGGCTGTCTTGTCCAGAGGGGAATTCAGCTTTCCAGGCATCACCAGCATCCCCATCTGCCAAGAAAACCCAGGAGCCTCTGGGTTGAAATTTCCCTTGTGTGTAAAGCACCAGCACAACCTTTGCTTCCCTTCCTCTCTTTTTGCCTCTTTCTCCCCTTATGTAGATTGATGCTCTGTGACAGCAGCACATTTTCATTGTATGAGTGCAGGAATTTTATCACTGCCTGCATATTTTACATGCACATTTACAGTTTGCTTTTCAGGAGCTTCTGTGCCATGCAGCTTATGTGCAAACATTTGAAGAAAAGTGGTACAACTAGTGAAAGACTTGAAAACTCTAAGTAATTAAAAATTGCCAAGTGAAGACTTGCTGCAAAAATGAGTTATCCTGTGAAGTGCCTGTACTGCTTCTCTCCTGCCCTGTTCAGCACAGTTTTCCATCATCAGTCGTTTTATCTGCTTTTAATCCTTTTTTTTTTTCCTTGCGCAGGTTTCTTAAGAATGCACAGTGAGAAGACTGCAGTCAGGTACTATGTTGGGATTGATGTTGGCTCGGCGAGTGTTCGAGCAGCTTTGGTCGATGGCTGTGGGACAGTGGTGGCACACGCGGAGCAGCCCATCCAAATTTGGGAGCCCCAGCCAGACCACTATGAGCAGTCCTCTGCAGACATCTGGGCTGCCTGCTGCTCAGTCACAAAGGTGGGCAAAGGCAAAGAAAATGAAGGATTTGTGTTGCAGGTAGTTCTTCAAGTTTTGAATGTTTAAGGTCTTGCAGTCCCTGTGTGTCACTTCCCTTCAGGTCAGTTTGTGCTGTGTAACTTGTAACCTCACCTTGAGGATGATGGAGCCTCAACAGTGTTTGTTTTATTGGTGAGGAGCTGAAGGCCAGAGTGAAAAAAACTTCTTCTACAATTGCAAATAGAATGAAAGGCCCTTCTTTGTGCTGTTTTGGCAGGGGGAGGACTTACCCACTGCCTTCAGGTCTCACATCTGTGGGGTTTGTTTTGCTGGTGTTTGTTCTACCCATGAGACAGTTTTTTGAGGAGTCAAGGTTGCTTAGAACCTGGCAGTGCATATATTTGTGCACATAAATGTGCTCATACTACACTGGAGTCACAAAGGAGCATTTATTGTATAGAAATTGTTATCTGGTTTGTGGATGGTCCCCAGCATAACAGCTGTGATCCTCATTATAAGAGGATCCAGTATTGTAAGACCAAAATAAATGATAAATGTTTGTGGATAACATCAAGCATAAGCCCAGATTGAAATAAACCTTACTGTAGGGGGAAAATTTGTGCCCACTGATCCAGGGCTCTGCCTGTACCTGCTGGCAGTAAAGGTAAATCTGTGACCTTGCTTGGCAGTGCACACAGAGGCCATTTCATCTTCCTTAGTAAAGCTCAGGCCTGCTCCATGTTCTAGGGTTGGCTTTTTAAATATTCATGGCAGGCTTGGTAATTTGCAGATGGACGGTTCACCCACTGTCTTGTTATTGATCAACCTTTTCAAACATTAATGAGCTTGGCTCTGTAGAAATGCCCTGAGATGGAGAGGAGGAGGTGAGGGGGAAGGAAGGGAAAGAAGGGAGTGACAGGAATGATAGGGAAGAACAGCTTGTTGTTAAAGACAAGCAAGTCTTACTCTTTATTTGATTTTTCTTTGTGTGAATTGCTTTGTTCTTGCTCTGGACCCCTTTAAATGCAGTCTCTGATGTGTGAGCAATAAAGCAGTCTCTGAAACTATGGCTTTTCAGAGCCAGTAAGAGACTGGCACTGTAGCAAGTCTAGTGAAAGTCTTTCCTTATAGTACTAATTAAAATAATGATATTTTTATTGTTGCTGAGAAGTGGCAATTTATTACTCTTGTTCATTTTAGGTGTCTTGCAACCTCCTTTGGCACTTAATCCACGTGGGTGTTGTGTTTTTTTTTCCAGTGCTGCTGGAAGCCATGAAGTTCAGGCATTTTGGGGCAGTGGTGTTTGTTTTTTTTTTCAAATCTTCCAAAAAAGTATGATGTCCAAACTCTTGGTAAGAGAGAAAAGGTGTGCGTTGCAGAGGTGTTATCACTGCTACAGGTTTTGACCGGTTTTATTTTTGGGACCCTTCAGTATTGCAAGGCAAAAAAGCTGTGGCTCAATATAACCAAAGCAATTCTAGGGTATTTATTGCTTCCACAGGTGGGAACTGAGTGAATTAACTGATGGAAACACTTGGCCCTAATCCTGTGTCCGTGTTTCACATGCAGCTCAACTCTAAGCTTTCAAAACCAGAAAATAAATGTTGCTGGTTTTCTGCTACATTTATTTTCTGATATTTTTGTGCTTCCTGCTTGATCCAGGACTGTGGCTAGTAAAATTAAAAAGCTATTAAGGACCTCTGAATTCAGTTTTGAGAACCAAAGAATTTTTTGTAATTTATGGTTTTTTGATTAGAAGTGTTAAAGAATACCGAATATAAAGAATTTCACAGTTTGAGCTTGCATTTTTAACTTGTAACTCATTTTCTGTACTCAGTTCAGTGGTACTTGCATATGAATTGATACATTTGTATTCATGTGTGTTTTGTGTATTTTCAGAAGGTTGTCTGTGGAGTGGATGCCGCCCAGATTCGAGGGGTTGGTTTTGATGCTACGTGTTCTCTTGTTGTTCTGGATAAACAGTTCCAGCCTTTGGCAGTCAACTGTGAAGGTAGGACTGCACACAAAAAATGGTGTTACTGTGTGTGTGTTACCACTGGTGGGAGTGAACTTTCCGTTTCATCCACGTGCTGGGGCTGACTCTTGGAGATGGAGATGACACAAAACCTTTTTTACAAAAGGATTTTTTTTCCGGTTTTACTGTTTTAATTCTACTGCAAAATTAATTTTGGGATGAGAATTACTGTTTGGCTAAGTATCTGGCATCCCAAGATCAAATTAATTCATCTTGGCTCAAAGAAATTGCTTCTTAGCGAAATCTAGGCTCGTTTTTCTTTTTTGCATGTTTTCTCCTCCTTCAGACTTTGCTGATCATGGCTTTTATAGTCTGTATAAATGCCCATCCACACTGGCTAAAGGAATGCTAAAAATGTTGGTGTTAGTGTAGTCCAACTGCTCGCTCTGTCATGAAGCTGCAGGCAAGGGGTTCAGTTGTGTATTTTATTATACTGGTGCTCTGTCTTTGTCTAGGACAGTGCTAAACTTCAGAAACTGACTGTGACCTTCTTCTAAAAATCTGGTGGGTTTTATTAGAGTTGATGATTCAGAAGACTCAAAGTCTTTGTTGCACTTTATTTTTCAATGAATCCCATTTAAGATTAGGTGTGTGCAAAATCAGTAGTTACAGAGACCTACTCACAATTCTGTGTATATTCTCTTCCTATTCTCAGATATATTTGTCGTCTCCTCTTATCCTCCTCAAAAAAAACAGCTTTGCCCCCAAAACATCCTTCTCTAAATTTAGATGAGATTATTTACTTTTCAGTTTCAGAGCATCTTACAATCTGTTCAATACCTAATGATGTCTGGGGCTATTCTGGTCTAGTGAGTCAAATTCACTTCTTATTTTTTATGCTCTGATATCCCCATGGAACTTGTGAGTGATGGTGTTAAACAAGAAGACAAGAATTCACTGAATATTCTCATGCTGCTAAAAGTCATGCAGTGGTGGGATTTCAGGCAGTTTCAAATTATTCCTCCTGAAACTGTACTTCGGAAAGAAATTAGGATAGTTCAGCCCATAAGCACAGAAGAGGAAAGAGAATCTCTGTAGCTGTCTAGCTAGCTGACTAGCTGAGTTCATTTCAATTTACAGCAGAGTTGTTCAGATTTTGTCGCATTTTTAGTCCTTGGTCACCAAAATGCTTCTTTGTATTTTAACTAATTATGTGAACTTTGTCAAGAAGTTTGGGTTCTTTGATTGAAATACAGCCTACGAGAGCATGGTGTTTCAAAGTTCTTGGATGCTCCCAAGTCTGATTGGTTTGTCAGCATTCTCAGTGCTCAGCATGTCTTAAAGTTGGCTCAGAGGGCTGAAATGTTGTTTTTAGATACTTAGTGTGGATTATTAGCTCAAAGAGAATTTGAGTTTTTGATGCAGAAGTGAAAGTGTGAAGCAGCTCAGGGTAACTCACAGTATTGAGGTGGGGTTAAACCAGACCTAAAATAATCTCTTTTTTCCTTTTGTTCTCCCCAGGACAGAACCATAGGAATGTTATTATGTGGATGGATCATCGTGCAGTGAGTCAAGTCGAGCTCATCAATGCAACAAAACACAGAGTTTTGAACTATGTAGGGGGAGCAATGTCTGTGGAAATGCAACCACCTAAACTGCTGTGGATAAAGGAGGTGAGTACAGTTCACATTTTGGGGCATTTTCACTAGTGATTAATGGCCTTTGTTAATTCCTGAGAATGAGATTTCTGGAAAGTCTTCAGCCTTGGTGTTGAACTCCAAGGTGTGCAAAGTAAGGCCAGGCTTAACTTGTTCTTTTTTCCTCTCAGTTACATAGAAAGATGTTTGATTTAATTGAAATGGCATGTTTCCTGAGAGGACATTTCATATGCCTTTCTTCTGTAAGATTAGCTATACATAGAAATTTAGGTGCAGGTAATGAATGAGTATCCTGGGATTTAGTTATGGAGGTGTATTTCCTGTTCCAGCTCTTGTATCTGAGCATGCTTACAGAGGTGTAGGTGCTGCTTGTGGGCTGGAGTCCCAGAGGCACTGCATCCAACAGAGAGGGGATGTGATGGCTTTGGCTGCTGGCAGAGGAACTCTTCAGTTAAAGATTCAGTTTAGTTCTGTCCCATCAGTAGCAAATAAACCATCTGTAGAGGGAAGATGCCCTGTTTGTAATGTGGAGCTCTACCTCTGTCTCCTGTGTTTAAATTCTGTGTGTCACAGATGACATATGGCCTCTTAATAACAACTGTCAGATAAAAGGAGAGACACTTGCTACTTGAATTTTTTATAACCTCCTCCAGCCTGGCTTTTACGTTTGGCCTCAGTGATTCTCACGGTCACTTTAACAAAGCCCAAAAGTACTTGCTGCCAGTTTCAAGTAGTCCAAGTCTCCTGTCCTTGCAAACATGAGATATCATATCAGAACAAGGTGCACACTGGGGAGAGTCAAAGGAATTAACTGGTAGAAGCAGGTACTGACAGATTAATGATAATAGACGACAGTGAAAGTTGATAATGAAAAACCAGTATCCATCTACTAGTTCTTCCCTTCTTGAGCAATGAGTATCATACATCAGTCATTTTATAAATAATAAAATGTAAGCTGTAAAAACCTTAAACTGATCCATTGAATTTAAAACATTTTTATGTTGCAAGGTCTGGAATATCAGTACCTGACTGATCAGGAAAACCAGATTATGAGGTGTCCAGATGTGCCCACCCAGGGCTGTAAGTGTCTGCTGTGTGAGCCCTCTGCCATAATTGCTGTAGTTTAAAGGAGAGAGCATTGCAGGGCTTGTTCTGTCCATGAGGCAGTGGGTAGGGCACAGCACTCACCTGATCCTACGTGCCAGTCAGGAGCAGGGATTGCCTGGCAGAAGGTGTTACTGAACAAGGCTTGTTCATGTGTCCCTTTTCAGCTCCTGACATAATAGATAAGGAGATTATTATCCTTAAGAGAGGGTTTTTTCCCTCAGTATGTGCTTTGCTGAGCTGCTCACGAGACAGTTCCTGAGTGGGCTGGGAATGACTCACCATTAAACTGCTTATGCTTGTCCTGCTTAGCTCAGGCACCTCAACAACATCTACAGCAGCACCTGAGCTGGGGAGAGGAACAGCAACAGCTACCATGGGGTCAGCTGTAATCAGCTGAGATTTGGGCGTGGAGTGCTCAGCTTCTGAGCTTTGGAGAGGTACAGGATGGAGTGTTCTTACTGCTTCTGTACTCCTTGCAAAGTGGGAGGGTGAAAGGAATTGTCTGAAGAGGAAAGGTTTGTTTTCAGTGCCAGTCACAGTAATGGATCTGTGGATTACATGACATCGGGGCTGTCAGCAAAGGGTCATGTTGGCCTCTGGCAGCTCAAATTCAGCCTCATGTAGTGCAAGTGTCATCACTTTTTGCCAAGGAAGAAAAGTGTTACAATAATTTTGAATGTCAGGTTCTCCAAATGAGAACTACAACAGAGTTTACACATAAGTTGTTACTCAGTGCACTGTCTTGAACTGGTCTACAAATAGAAATTAATGAATTTTTTTCAGATTCTTTGTTACCAGTATTTTATAGATAATAAACTGTGACACAGGTATTAAAAGTATGGTCAGAAAAACTACTTATGGTACTTAATGTGTCCTTCCTGTTTTTTTGTGCTATATCTTTATTTTCTGTATTTAGTATTTAGTGTATTTCCCTCCTGCTAATACTACACAGTTCCCAGAGACACAGCAGAGTAAAATTTTGCTCTAACTCACATATAATAAGGAAAAAATACTCTGTTGACTTTTTCTCTGAATTCCCTGGACCTTATTTTGAACTCCCCAGGAATTTATTGTTTCTGCTGTTGAATGGTTTTGTGCTGTTTTCCCTCTATACATCTTTGCATGGGATTGGTGCTGTGCACATTCCACAGCTGCTTGCATTGATTTAGGTTTTGCAGAGAGGGTGCAGTGGGGAAAAGAACTGCTTTGAGTCTGAAGTTAAATAATAAAATAGAAGTTAAATAATAAAGGTAAAATAACCTGGTACTAATAATTAAAAACAATTTATAAATCCATTGAAGTAACCAGCAGAGTCATCTTTGGTGTCATTGGAAAAATGTCTGATACCTTTCTTTTAATCAAACCTCATGTATTTGTAACAATGAACAGCATCTAATTAGGAGAACCTTAAAATTAGTCCCCATGAAATATGTTCCTTTCAGTGGATCCTCATCTCTCTGGAACTCACCGAATTGTTTTCTCAAGCTTCAAAGTTTATTTAGGCTGGCATAAATATAATTGTTTATTTCTGAGTTTATTGCCTAACCAATTAATATTCAAGATTTCCCTTGACTTTTCCACATTCCACAGTTTGTGGATTCAGTCATATAAAACCTCAGTCCTGCTAGTACAAGATAAGTTGCACAAAAGTGACTGTAAATTAAATTAGTTTGTTAAGAGTCATTTGTGAGACTAATGATTTAGGAGATTAACTAGGTGCCCTTTTGGAAGTAAGTTATTTAAAGAACTGATGCTAAATGACCCTTTGGACTGTTGTTACACCAATAGTTAATTGTGTATATATTATGATCAAAGCCTCCCTCTCCTTTTCCATGGTACTAACCTGACTCTGGAGGGCCACATTAAGAGATCCTGTTGTCTCATGTTTTCCCTTGGGAGTATCCAAAAACAGGGAGTTTCCCTGTAGTATCCAAAAATCCTGACCGCTGTGAGGAAGGTTCTGACATGGGGCAATTCAGCAGTGTTGGCAAGTTGTGAGGCATTAGAGTGCCTCTCAGAGAAAGGAGTTGAATTTCTATTGCTTGGAGAATTTTCATCCAAGCAATTAAAAGTATTTCTGAAGAATATGACTTTGAAAATTTACTCTGAATTGGTTGCAGTAGTAAAGAGGGAGGAAAGGGAAGAAAGGACTAAGGTGGAGAGGAACTTTTGATAAGGGATTGGAGTGGTAGGATGAGGGGAAGGGCTTCAAACTGACAGAGGGCAGGGCTGGGTTAGAGATTAGGAGGAAATCCTTCCCTATGAGGGTGGGGAGGCCCTGGCACAGTGAGGCTGTGGCTGCCCCATCTCCGAAGTATCCAAGGCCAGGTTGGATGGGGCTTGCAGCAACCTGGTCTGGTGGAAGGTGTCCCTGCCCATGGCAGGGGATAGAACAAGATTAACTTTGAGGTCCTTTCCAATCCAAAGCATTCTGTGATTCTGTGATGACCTAACTGTGCTTTTCCATTTCCATCATCCTATTCCTAGAACTGAAGTCAAGGATGGTCTCACTGACTGTGAGGAGTGAGCTGACACCACTGTAAGAGAAGTAGATACTAGTCCTTATCTCTTTTGTTATGCTTTTTTGTTATGCTCAATTTGTTTTTGTTTGAGGAAGGATTTCCTCTCATCTACTTCTATTTTACTTTTTTTTCCATATAATGCATTCTCTTTAACATTTCATCTCCTTACACATAATAGAGATTTAGCTAGAGAGAAGAGGCTTCAGGATGTTTTCTGTTCTTACAGCTCTTCATCTCTGTTCCATTTTGGCCTTGAATTAAGAAAATAAACTTTGAAGGCCATAATAGGCTTTTTGAGATCTTTTGTTTGATTTGCAGTGCCTTTCATTCAGTTTAGTTTGATCAGTGCTGAATCATTCCACCCTCTAACACCTAGTAGTCAGTCTCCATGAAGTGTTTGTGATTGCAGATGGGTGTTCCTGTGGCAAAGCCACCCCTGGAGTTTGTGTCAGGGACAGCTGCAGTCAGTGATCAGCTGAGTGCAGCTCCTGTGTAGCCTATGGGCCAGTCTGGGTGAAGTGGGCACATCTGTGGCCCACTTGGGAGGAGCATTTTTCTGCTTCTGTGGACCATGTGTGGTGAGAGAGAGAGAGTCCAGTGTTAAATCTGTAATGTAAAATAAAAGAAATACATGATTTTTTTTTTCCAAAAGCTAATTTGTGTGGATGCAGCCACATTTGACTTTTGAATGTGGTCAACCAATCCCAAAACATCAAGTATAGATAAAGTTGAAGTAAAAATCATTATCCTGTGACAAATATTTAGAAGCTAGCTGGAACATAATTCTGACAAGGTCTTGTTGAAGTCAGTAAGTTAGTGAATGTCAGCTTCACTGAAAAGGAAAGGGGTCTTTCAAAATAGCTAGTTAAATTCACTCTTTTTGCTTTTATTTCCTTAGATTTCATTGTGGTCTAGAATTATCTTGCACAACACTATTGCAATAGTTCTGTAGTTGCAGGTGCATTTTTTTGCAGCAGTTCTGCTGTTTTGTAGACTTTGGCTAAAGAAATGGGATGTTCACACGCATTCAGGGTGTGTAGATAGTTCTGGGAGGTAGATGCCTGCATATGAGCTGAAAATACAGGTACAGGCTCCTTCCCTTGGGAATTATTTTGCTGCAGGTATTTGTACATCATGACTGTAGAGATGTCTGTGCTGTGGCAAACCAGCATTAGAGCAGTGAGAGCACAGCTTGAACACTGCAGTGCAAAAACTGCAGGGCAGGGGTTTGCAGCTCCAGAATTAGCCTGTTAGTATTTTTTTTCCCCAGAGATAGTAGAAGAAAAAAAAATCTTGTTTACTAACTTCTGGCTGGAAATTTTATTGTAACTTGTGCCAAACTGAAAGGATGCATGTTATGTTTTCCTCATAGTAATGACATTACAAATCAGCTATTTCTAAAAAATACTAGTCCCATGAAATCAGAGATGCTGTAGTTTTTTCTAAGTGGGTGGGGGATGCTGGACTGGGAGTAGATGTTTGCTTAGTAACTGTCTCCAAATGAAATGCAATTTTCCTATGCTGTGCCTTCTCAGCTCTGTTCTTAATGTAGTGTTGAAGAACAAAGAAAAACCTTCCTTTAGCAAAAAAAAGAAATTCACTTCACAGAATGACTATCTACATATTATTCCTCTGCAATTAATAACTAAAATCAATAGGCTGTATTTTTTTTCCTAGCACAGTGGTCAGTGGTGGTTCTGTGTGTTACAGTTCACATCCTAAGTTAGAGCTGCTGTTTGATCCAGCATTCTTCTTCTCTCTGCCCCCTGGGACTTGCAGCTACCAATGGGATAACTTGCAGGAACAATTAAGGCATCTCTTTCCCTGGCTGTGGAGGGAAGGACAGTGGATGGACTGGCATCAGCTTGGCAGCAGCTCTTTTTTCCTGCATTTCTTCTTCCTTGCTTGCTGCCCTTGCACTGGCTTTTTGTCTTGTTGAATGTGAGCGAATGTTTTTCCATTAAAATAAACAGTAAATTCCGTGTTAAGTGAGAATGAGTCCAGGCTGTTGAGTTTAGAGCTGAACTCTTGTTTAGAATTGTTTATAAATGTTTCAGCACTCTGTGTTATCAAACTCCATACACAGTGCAGACACATGTGCACAAGCCATGCTCAGGATGCCTCTGGGATTTGAGGATACCAGCACGTGGCTCTGACACATCTTGCCCTGGTGGTCTTCCTCTAAGAGTTTACATTCCAAGGCCCTCCTCTCCCCCTGTCCCACTTCCTGAATCTGATCATTGGGTCAGTTAATCTTTTACCAATTAGAGGGCAAGTCATGGCTGCAAAATTGATCCATTCATGGCCTTGGCTCTGGCAAGGACAGAATTTCTGCTCAGGGCCTCTCTTGGAATAGCTCTATCCCATGATTTGGCATCCCATGTGAAGTGTGGGAGATGCAGGTTATAAGTCCTTGCTCTGTCTGAGTTGGAGCAGGGCATGGGACATCAGTTTCTTACATTCCTGGGAGTGTTTGCATTAAAGTATTGGGTTGTTCTCTTTCCTCCCTTCACACAATGTACATTTGTTTTCAGTAATTTAGAAAAAGACACACTGATAGACTTCATAGCCCTCTGCTACAGATTGCCTGGGAGATGGAGATTCAAATCTGGGGGTGAACTGGGAAAAGCGGATGGTTCTTCAGTGATTTTCAGGTTTCTTTCTGGTTTTCAGATGACTTAGAGTTTTACCTGATGTGGAACTTTCATTTTTGCCCTAAATGGTGAAACGTTTTTCTGCTTCCATCTGTCCCTTCTGATTTTAACCTGGATTTCTGATACACCACTCTCAGATGATTTTTGAATTTCTGGGTTTCGGCTGATAAGTAGCCACAAAATTTAGACTGATACACTGTGTTAAATCAGATGTTGCTTCTAGCCTAAATTTAGTTAATCTCATGGCCAACAGGGATCTATTATGAAGGCTGTCTATAGTGTCATTTAAGATAATTTGATTAATATTTAATCTCTTAACAATAACAAAAGTTAGAATATCTTTAACGTTTGTATACACAGTTTACTTCTGGTGGAAAAAAGTGTGTTTTAACAAACATTAGATGATTGAAGATCACTCCATCTCACATGATAACTATACCTTCAGTAAGAGCAGAAATCAAAGGTTTCCTGTACAGAAAGAGGCTACCTCAGCAAACCTGAGTAAAATCTGAATGTTAAAGCTCTTTCAGTTTTTCCAAGGAGAATGTGGCTCTAGATGTCTCCAGAAAATTTCCTTGGATGCTGGAGCTCCTGTGAAATTCTACCTTTGTGTGTATTTTCAGTCCAATTACAAAGTCCCTCATTATCCTGGACATTCCTTGTCTAGGAATATTAAAAGGCATTGCACTACATAATTTTTAAAGTCTTTTTCCCCAGGCATTTGGGATTATCTATAACAACCTCAAAAATTATTCTGTGGAGGTATAGTTGTTAAAACAACCCCAAACAGTCAGAGAGCTGTAGGAAAGGGACTCTGGAAGTACCCCTGGGAAACAGCAGGACTGTGTGAGTTCCTCCAAGTGAGTTTGGAGGGTGAGTCGCAGGATGTGAACACAGCATTGGGAACGTTCCCGGATCTTCTCCACAATCCTTTTAATGTGGTCACAGACTCCTGACTGTGGGTGAAAATAAATCTGAATTAACTGCAGTGAAACATGGAGACTTTAAATTTGTTGGGAAAAAGCACCATGATTCTTGTTGTCTGTACTAATTAGTGATGACACAGCATCGAGATGGCAAAAAATGAATCATTTGGATGTTCATGAAACAACATACTTTGAGTGTCACTAACATGTGGCTTTTGGGAATTCTTGAAGAAATAGAATCAGGATCCAAGGAGTATCTTTGGTGAAGCAGATTTGTTTGAAGAGGACAGTTATTCTTAATCCAGCTTCCTTTCTTATTACCAGTAATAGACAAACTACTGTTGTTCCTTGAAGGCCATCAGGTGTGTTAACAGCACATAATGGCTTTTATTATCAAAATAATTGGTCTGAGTGACCTTTGGACTAAATTATGGAGCTCCTTTGCATTCACATCTGAAGTTAAATTTGATGTGTGTAGCAGCCACGTGAGCTAAACCTGAGTGGTCAGGAACAAACATCCAAAGGTTGTGCATTTAATGTTAAAAAGTTGTAATTGGAGCATTTGTTTTTTGAACTTAGTAGAAATCCAGTAAGTTTCAGAAGCTTTTGAAGAACTAAACAGAAAGGTAAGACAGATTCTTTGCATGATCCAAAACTAAAGAAAATTTTTCTTTTTTTGCACTTACCCAGTTGCACCTTAGTTTCTGGAATTCATTAATTCCTTTTCAACAATTTTCTGGACTTGTAAGATTTTAGTTTGATACCATGTAGTATTTGAATTAAGTTACAGAATCATTGAATCACAGAATGGACTTGGGAGGGATCTTGAAGCTCATCCAGTTCCAACCCCCTGCCATGGGCAGGGACACCTTCCACTATCCCAGGTTGCTCCAAGCCCCATCCAACCTGAACACTTCCAGGGATGGGGCAGCCCCAGCTTCTCTGGGCAGCTTGTGCCAGGGCCTCACCACCCTCACAGAGAAGAATTTTTAGAGCCACATATTCTTTCTTAAAATGGAATTATGTTTTCTTTTAATTTAGCATGTACCTTCTTGATATTGCATGGAATTAAATCTGGCTCCAGAAAGAGCCCAGGTAGGACTTGTTTTTCTAGCACAGCAGCTGCTCTTAATAAGTGAGAAAACTTTGCACCTTTCCAATGATTTAAAAAGCTGGTGGAGGTTTTTAAAGCAATGTTATCTTCCTGTGGAAGTCTGATTGCGACCCTTTTGGTCAGCAGCACTGACTTCTATTTGGTTTTGATGTTCTTTACTGGTTTTAGTGTACCAAGGTCAGAAGTGGGCATTGAATTCTTGCTTTCTGGACCACCATCTGTCTGCAGAGTAGAGCAGTGGAAACAGCAGTTTCCACTGTAAATGATCCCTGTAAATGGTCTGTCTTGGTAGAAGAGTTTTTTAGGAGTTTGGAAACATCAAGTGGCTTTTCCAAAAGCTGTGTGATCCGAAAGCTTTGTTCTTGTGCTCACAGAGCTGTTTGTTTCCTTCCTGTGCTTACAATTAACAAATACGAAATTTAAAATGGTAAATTCTAGAAGGTAGAGTGTCCTTCAAGCAAATGGTTTTTGAGAAGATTGTGTGTTGACTTCGAGGCTGCTGTGACACGGAGCAGCTGATGGGGAACTGAGAGCTCATGTTATTGATCTGAAACTTGTGCCTCCATGAACTTTTCATGGGAAACTTTGCTTAAGATCAGCCTGTGGTGGGGCAAAGGCTCAGTTCTCTAGGCAGTAAATCAGAGAGTAGAGCAGACAGGATGATCAGAGTAGTTGGTTTGAAAAAATTGTCCTTTTTACCTAAATATCAGGTTTTTTAATTGCATTAAAATAAGAATGTGATTATGCCTGACCTCTAATATCTGCATTTCTAAACATATTTTTATTAGAACTTGCAGGAATCCTGGGAGAAGGCAGGCTACTTCTTTGATCTTCCGGATTTCTTGTCTTGGAAAGCCACAGGTGTCACTGCAAGGTATGTTAATTATAACAATATGATTTGGTCATCCTCATCTGTTTTCTTCTGTATGTTCTGCTTTAATTCATTGTGACTGGACATGCTGTTATGTACATCTGTCTGTAATTGAGTCTGCCCCAAAACATCTTGAACCTATCTCCTGCTTCCATGTGCATTCCTGAGCACAGTTGTTCCTGGGAGCAGTGTAGTTCACAGATACAGTTTGTTGCTACAAATGTCAGTTAATTGGTCTTGTGATCCATTTTGGAACAGAAATGTGATTACTCTAGTTCCTGTGAAATACACTTTTAATAATTCTCTGAAATGTGGGGTTTTTTACAAGTTTATTGACTTCAGGGAGAACTGGAAAGAAACACTTCTTTGCCATGTGGGAGGGATCTGTTAAAATCTTGTTTACAGTGGTCACTTCACTGTAAAACACAGCAGCTGTACTGCTCCTCAAAAGCATCCTGGAATACCTCCTGAGCAGTTCAACAAAATCCTCTGAGAGAACCCCTGAAAAATCTGCATTGAAGTCACCAGCACAAGTGAAGTGTATTTGCAGATAAACAACTCCTTGTGAAAAGTGAGGGATAGTATTATTTATGGACTTACATGACCAGCTGCAGTTCACAGTTATTTTCATTGCAGTTTGTGGAACTGAATCTGCAAAATGTAGTCTCAGATGAAAACTGATCACAGGGTAGTTTTGGTCTCTCTGGAAATGAAGATACCTTTGCATCAGACACAGTTTTTTGAGTTATTTGAGTGCTCTATTTCTCCCTAGTTAGTCTTCATGACTGACAGCTTTTGTTATAGTGTTATATATTATATATTCCCTGCATTATAGAGGAGGGAAATGCTGTGTTTGACTTAAAAGAAAAACAGAGTTGCTAGATGGTAATTGATAGATAGTATCTCAGTTCTTCCTTTGGATTTTCAGTCAGATTTTGCAGTATAACTATGAATTATGTAACAGAGGAACAACTCCCACCCCACAGATCTTGCAATCTAAGCAGTCCTGTCACCTGGCCCAACTCTTCCTTCAACAGGATAAATCCCAGGTCCCAGATGATATTCCATGCAGGGTCTGCAACTCGTGAAAGTACTCAAGACTTGGATTTAGAATTAGAACCCTTTAGTCAGGGCATTAGATGGAGAACGGTCTGAAAAGGGAGGGTACAGGGGTACTGATGGCTCCCTGGTCCTGCCTGGCTTTGGCTTTGTGCTCTTGGCTGCAGCTTCCTGGAGTTGAAGCAGAGAACCTCTCCTAAAAACAAAAACTCTTGCAGAAGATTATACTCAAAAGTGGAGATGCCTGAATTTAGGCTGGCAAATTCATTCCCTTAGCAATGACAATTTTATTTTTCAAAAACATTTTGATTCTATTGATGAATGCTGGGAAAAGACTTTCTGGACGGAGTCCTCCCCCACCTTTGGTTGAGAGTCTTCTGTTTTGGATAAAATAGTTCTTTGTAGTGCCTCCTTTGCTAACTTAATGTTAAGCCCATTAACATTAAAATTAAGCCCATTGTTTTGGCTCTAGTGGAATGTCTTATAGGGTAGCAAAGTAGGAAGAAAAAGATAGGAAAATAAGGACAAGAAATGTTTTGCTGGAATCAAACCTAATTTTTTCCCCCTTTCTCTCTTTTCCCAATGCACACCTGTTTTTTGGGAATTTCCTTGTAGTTTGGTGAAGTAAAGTAATTTGCCCTGCATATGCTCATAATACAAGGGAATTATGAATTTGTCAAGTATAAGATTCTTCCCACCTTTTCTCCCTTTGAGCACAAAGGAGCCTATTCACAGGGCAAGACACAGTGTTACTCACTCTGAATCATGCAGAACTTGGCCCTGATAAAAGACAGATTTATTTTTTTAAAAATTTGTTTTGGTGATGGGGATTTTACCAAAATAAATGCAATTCCAAAGGCACTTTTATGGGAAAGACCTTGCTTCTTTAAAATTTTAAGGGGCTCTCTAGAACATTTTGTGTGTGTTTGACATTTAAAAACTGTGTGTAGTCTTTTTGCTTTAGTGAGGTCGCTCAGAGCAGAACGTTGTGTGTGAGATGTGAATGGGACGTGTTTGAAAAGCAGTTCTTGATGTGTATTTCTGAGTATGAAATCCTTTCTCTTTCCCCTTTAATTCTGCTGGCCTGAATTGCCTTGTTGCCAAGGTTTTTTCCAGTGGAACTATAATAAAAACAGTAAAGACCTTTTACCTCCAAGCTGGAGATTCAAATGTATTCTGACATTTTTTTACCTACTGGCTTTGAAATTACTCTGTGTCTCACTGAACAACACCCACCCATCACTTACAGAGGATAAGTTCCAAATTGTTGATTCCCATTGTTCTTGGAAGACTGTTGCCTGTAATATTTCATATTGAAAATAGTTCTTTTTTATTGTTTCTCCTTGATGAAAGACCATTGAGTTTTTCTGAATGATCCTGACTATTATGCATTGAAAATGTTACTGACAGCTCTTTAGTTAACAAATTTAAAACTTTGGAACTTCCCAGCTTCTGCCCCCCAAGGTTGCAACAATGAAGTGTTGGTTTTGCCACTTGAACACTCAGTTGTGTTCTCTCAGAAATGCTGTGGTGGAGAGGAAGAGCTGTTCTGTCACAGACACGTTAGAAGTGCTTTGCAGAGGCTCAGCACTTCGACTTGTGGTGAGTGTGACTCACTGCTCCCCCTCCCACCATCTACAACCTCTGATAACTTTTTCTTTATATGGTGTTTTGGGTACAGCTATCTTAATAAAATCTAAACACTTATCTAGTTACAGGCTACTGTGTTATGGATGGAGAATCCAGAGATGTACATCTGTAATTTCAGTGTACTTCTGAGGTCTCGTGAGGGATTCCACTGCAAATAAGAATATGGCTGAGCTGTTCAACTGGGTGGAATTCACACACAGATTTCTCAAAGGTCATGTGTATAGACCCAGCATTCTGCTTCAGGGTCACTTCCAGTCATGAGCAACTCACAGGAAAATGAGCAGGTCTCTCCTGCATTTAAGATGAACTGTAACTAATGAGAGATTAAACCTGTGAAGGAGGATTTGGAAGCATAGGGGAAAATGTCAGGCTGACATTATCGAGATAGAGAGTGTCCAACATCGTGCTGCAAGCCACCTCCCAAAATTACCAAAAAAAGTTGGAATAAAATGAATATTTGTGCAGATTTTTTTCCATATTATTATCCCCTAGATATGTTAATATTTAGGGGAAAGTAATGTATTACCTAGGAGAGACTTCATCTCTTATAGGGATGTTGATGCAAATAATTTTCCTGTGGAAATAATTGTCCAGTCAGTCTTCAGCTGCTTGCCATCATGACAGGGAAAAGGGTGGAACAGATGTTTTGTATACTTTGGAGGAACTTTTCTAAATTATCTCCTTCCAACAGATCTCAGGATCATGAGTTTCTCCAGAGAAAATCAGTTTTATAGGAAAGAAATTCATGCTGTTACAGTAATTACAGACTGCAAAGTGAAGGAGAAATGGTTGTAGTTGATTAAAAGCATTTCTGGGAACCACATAACCAATATTAGTCTGTATCTCTGTGAGAGGGGGTGATATCTTCTTAACACACAGTGTATTTTCAACAGGAAGATCCCTTGACTAATTGTTTTCTTTCATTTATGAGTTCCTTGGCTTGAGCACATTTAAATAGCTGACTCTTTATGTTAAGCAGTGATTGAGTCCTCAGAGTTTATTTGTCACCCGTTTCCAGTTGCTCATCATTAGGGCTTGAGATGGCTCTGTTGCACTGATGGAAATCCAGAGGACTCCTTGGATATTTCTGGGGTTGATGCAGAGTCTGCTGGGATCAATAGCAGAGATTGGTCCCTTGCTGAATCGCAGCGATGGAAGTTTTTAGTGAAACATTAAGCTGGGAAGGTGCTCTTGAATCCAAGAATCTGGATTCAGGTCTCTGCTCTGTTATATCCCCTGTGTGATTGTAGAAGTGAATTAAATCTGCATCTTCAGAGGTGTTTGGGCAGCTGAACACATTTGGGGATTTCATTCTTGTTCATCCCTGTATTTGCTCTTCAGCTGTTAAATTGACATATCCACACACTCTTAGGAGGTTTCTTGCTTTTACCGCTGTGAGGTGAAATCGCTGTGTCAGTGGAGACCTCACCAAATGTTTTATCCAGATAGGCTGGAAACTCTGAAAAGGGACAGAGTTTGGAAGAGGAGCTTATGTTTAGAGGTGCAGTTGAAAAAACAAACTGGTGTGAGTTAAATGATTATCTGAAGGATGTCTGTGTCTTTTTAAAGGATTGGGCAATCCCTGCAGTGAGATGTGGTAACTGGACCAGTGGAGACACCCATTTTGGGGCCAGCTGCCCTTCCCTTCCTTCCCAGCCTTGCCATGACTAATGTATACCCTTTGGCTGGGCCCTGGAGTTTGGCTTCTTGTTTATATTTTGTGCCTACTTCGAAAGATGGCTGGTTTAAAAATCAGGCCTCTCAGTGGAAAGAAAGGGCCAAGGGAATATTTCAGAAGGCTGTTGTGATTAGTGCTGAGCCCATGTGGCAGTGACAGTATCCTGAGCTGCACTCGGGGGTTGTGTCCTGTTTATGAAATGAAACCCAAAACTTCAGACTTGCAGACTTGTTTGGAAAAGTCTCTGGAGAAGGGAGAACTATCTTGAAGGGCTGGTTGGGAGGGGGGGAATGGTGTTTTTGTGGATTGGACAAACAAAGTACCATGGATTTCTTGTCATGGAGCCAAGAGCAAGTGTCCCTGTGATGGTATCTTTGCCAAATGAGAGAATTCTTCTGCTGTTGGGCTTTTAATAAATTCAAAACATGTTCTTTAGAGACTGGTGACACATAGGCTGATCCAGAAAATAGGAAATGTGTAGCTGGAAAAGTTATCAGGATTGTGAAGGGCAGGTGCAATGTGGGCCATTACCATTAGATTTTTTTTTTTTAATTTAAAAATGATCTGTCCTTGAGTATACAGAGTAACCTGAAAAAGTTCTGTGTGCTAAAGAAGA